TACGATCCATATCTATGTCATTTGTATATCTATTAATACCACTTGATAAACTTTTAACAATAAGAAGAAGTTTAAGTAATATACGATCATTTGTATATGAATGTACTAATTGAATACATTTAATAAGATGAGATGATATACTATTATTATATAATACTGTTACAGAATCCATTAAATTTTGTGATATATCAGAAGAAAGTGTTGCTTCATTAATAGTTAATGTAATACAAAAATGATTTCTTATTAAATGTATTTTATCCGACATTGATAAACGTTCAAATTCAGGTATAAGTTTAAAATATTTAACTAATGATTTTTGTCGTTCAGTATAATCATTAAGAAATGTATGTAAAGATAAACGTTTTGAACTAGGAAATGATGGACATTGTTTTGCTTTTGTTGCTATACATGTTCGTTCATATGCACTACATATATTTGTAATTAGTGTTTGATCAGATGAAGATATTATTTGTGATTGATTTTGTGTTAATAATAATAAATTTGATGGTCGAATCTATAGATATAAAAATGAAAAAAAGAAATATTTTTTATTTTTCGAACTATTAAAAGATAATTAATTCGGGTTATTTAGACAATAGAATTTTTTGCTATTTTTTAATATAACTTTAGATTTTTCTTCGAAGGTAAGATTGAGCAATTATCAGTGAATTTTGTAGGAAATTCTAAAATTGTTTCTATACAAAGAAAGGCAGCAGTTTTAGTACAGTTCGTCAATAAGCGAAATCTATGCATTTCTACTAAAGTTGTGATAGGTTTCAATCGAAATACAAAGTTGACCTAAATCGTATTCTGTACAAACACTATTTTGAAACAATCTGACGACAGCTGTCTAATCTTAATCCAGAAGGAAAATCTAAACAAATATTCAGAAAGAGCGAAAATGTCTAGTTCTAACTAGTTGTCTTTTAAGATCTGAAAAATAAGTAAATATTTTCTGCCAGAACTTTTATGTCACAGACGCATTAATTAATGAGGAAAATGTAACTATAAAAGCTTTTGACTACAGAACGGAAGATGTGAAAGCTTGTAGAGAAAGACTTCCTCTATATACTAATGTATATATCAGAGGTGTCCACAAGGTGATTTTTCCCATCCTGTACTCTGCCTTGTCCTACTCTACCTTATTGTCAAGAAAGGCATAAGACAAAAAAATGTACCCTATCTTACTCTTCCACTAGAGCATGGCACTCTGTCGATTCGACGAAGCGTCTTGATTATTATTTTCGACTGAGTTCAAAAGTAAAACTATTTCGTCATTGTATCATAGAATGTTGTTTTATTTAAACTCATTCTATAATAATAGTAACTCATAGTTCCACTAATAAAATTCATGGGTATCAAAACAGAGAAGAAGTAGATGATATAACCTACATAACTCAGATCTATATGATTTTGTTTTTTTTTTATAAAAATTCATTTGAAAAATATATTTAAAAAAAAAAGAGTAAATACTAGTAAGATAACTATTACAAGCAAGAAAGCAAAAAACAACAAAAAAAGGCATAATTTATTTTTTTATACAAATGTTTTTCAACTGATCGTGCTAATAAAATATTTCATTGTTGTTTTTTTTTATTTTTAACAGCTCGATGTACAAAAGAAAGTCACCAAGGCGGTAAAACCTGTGTTGAAGTATTGCTTTCAAGACGAATGTTTTCATTTTTTCTTTTGAAAACAATTGTTTCAATTGTTCAGAAGTATAAAATTTTGAGGAAATTGAGGTGAAATAATCAACAAGACAAGATGAAGTCGTATTTGATTTAGCCGTATGATCAGGAGTAGACATAAGACAAATATCATCATATGAATCAAATGATATAGAACTCATAACTTAATGTTTCACTTTAGTATGATAAACTATGATCATTTTATTTATTCGATCATGTTCATTCGAATGTAAATCTATAAGAAAAACTTTGAATAGCAGTTGTTACTGCTCTCTGCAGCCTATATTCGATTTATGTTTCTCAAGGAATGAAACGACATTGTTCTTCAGAATGAAAATTTGAAAAACTGATTTTCTGGTTTGCAGAATATCACAGAATATAAAGACCTTGTCCTGTCCTGTTCGGAGATCTGCAATGTGCTGCCTTGGTCTGTGGACACTGACATATACTATCAGGTTCTATTGCGTACCCATGGTATCTCAATAGGTAGCGCCATCTACCGCCGTAATCACACTGCGTCGTAGAACTTGATAATGCATACATTATTAGATAGAGAGAGTCTATCTCTAGAAGTCTATATACATTCTCTTCTATAGATAAAAAGTACCGAAAAACTTAGAGTTGCCTTTAGCTAATGAAAGAGTTCAAGATAAAGATGGATGATTTCAGAGAAAAGAAATATATTCTCTTTAGTGTTTTAAATATAGAATTAAAGATGTTGCGAGACTAGTTTTGGTCTTGGACTTGCAGCGACAAGGAAAACAACTGTTTAAATCGGAATTGAAAATTTTAGTTAAATTTTCTATAATTTTTAGCAAATTAAATCAAAAATTATGTCAATCAAAGCAAAATTTAAGAGAGATAACTAAAAACACCCGTCAGTTGACTTAATCACCATAAGAATGTTTAAGATTATTTCTTAAGTTTAATACAAATAAATCTTAAAATAATTTTCTCTAAGTCGGATCGAGATTAGATTTAACACGAGTATGACACATTCTAGTAAAAAAGAGATAAAAAAAAAACATGGTCCCGCAAATCTCTATCAATGATAATAAATCTATTTGATTTTACAAGTCTTAAAAAACTTATTCTATAAATATGATTTCAATCATAATAATTAAATCTTTTCTAATTTTGTATATTATCTCTTCATACCAAAGCTGTATTTTTTTTATTTAAATATTGACAACGTTTTCGACGATTTTGTTCAATAAGTTGTTTTCGTGCTTCTCGTTCAGCTTCAGAACGAATTAATGATTTTTGCATTCCAACACGAAAACATTTTGCTAGACGACAACAATTACAAAAACGACGAGATTTATATGTTACTGGACAATCACCATCATGTTGACAAATAAAATCACGTCTCTATTAGCAAACAAAAAAAAAATATAGTTTGTTTTGTTAACTATAATATATTCATTTTAAAAAAACAAAACTTACACCAAGTTTAACAGCATTTCGACGAAAAAATGCTTTACATGGTGCACATGTTGGAACAGCAAAATTAATGCCAATTGCATCACCATCACATACTAAACATCGACCAAGTGATCGAGATGACATTTAAATATTTCTAAAATGTTCAAAAATATTTTCGTACAAATCTAAAAAAGAAGAATCAATTATTACATTTTGTTTTTGTTCTTTAATAATAGCAATGATCTATCTGACTAATAGTAACTGCTCTTAGTAAACATTATGTTGAATAGACACTACAAGATAAATTTAATAGATATAATTTTATTTCAATATAATAATCATAATTAAGTTTGAAAACGAACGTACTGAACCTCGATCATTAACTTTCTTTCTTTTTTTGTTTTAGCTTCTCTTTGCTAACACTATCTCTTGACGTTGTAAACTGGCTCTTTAGAAGAAACTCAAATTGTAATTTTGTTTCTTTCTCTTGAATTAATCATCTTTAGTTTATTATGTTTAGACAGGGGTCAGAAGCGTAGACCAGAAAAAAAGTTCTCAAGAGGAATGAAGGAATATTTTATAATGAGACGAACAAAAGAAGGTTTAAAGATGTGTCAGAATTATAAAAATAGAACTATAGAATCAATTATATTCTTACACTCAATTAAAATTAAAGATTTTTTTTTCAAAACGACAAAAAAAGAAAAAGGAAAATTCATCATTTTTTATGATGAGTTCGATATTTATATATTATAAGATTTGTAGAGCTAAACTTCTAATAGATCTTAACAGTAAAACTCAAAAATAAAAATACAATCGATTTAGTCATCTGTTTGAGTTTTTTTCATTTAAATTATTTTGCATTGTGTATTAAAAAAAGAAAAGAGTTTTCATAACTAAAATGTATTATCAAAAAAAAAAAACGATACTATAGAAAATTGTTTTATTCTAAGAATAAAATGTCTTCAATCTTTTCATTAATATAATAATAACTCGACACTCTTCTCTAGAATATTTAAATCAAATAAAAGATATCCCATAAGATACATACTAAATAGAAAGATCTTTTCTATATTTGATAATTATATATATTGATAATTCAAAAAGTCTATATTGTAGGGAATTGTTAATAGAAATAAAACGTAATTGTTTTGTTACCATTATGAAGTATTCATAATACTTTAAACAAAAAAAAAGAATACAATAAACAAATATCATAGATTTGTAGTAGTATCATACTAAATACTGAGTCAAAGAAAATGTTGATGACACTTAATGTTATTATAATTAATGTTCTAATATGAATTGAAATAAATATTTTGTCATAAACGACGTATGTTTAATATCTGAAATGAAGGAAAAAACAAAAGTTTTCATATATCGCTTCATCAAAAGATCTACTATTTTCTTATGTTTTTATTACAAAAAAAAAAGGAGAGAGAGAGAGAGAGATGAAGAAACGCGGTATGACTGTCGAGAACATTTATGATGATAATAAACAACAAAACATAGAACAAGAAAGATGAAGTAAATTTAGAAAAAAAGAAAAAGATAAACTATTAGTTTTCGTTTAATATACATACACGACAAAAGGACAATTCAGAGAGAATATGCACATCTCGACTTCATACATACATAATTGACAAAAACAAAACATAAAAAATAATTTCACTATGATAAAGAGACAAGAAGCCAAAAAATATTTTTATTTTTTGTGCACTTTTTTGTTGTCATTAAGTCGGGAAAGAAATGATGTGTGTGTATATATCAAAAAAAAAAGAAAAAACAAGATGTTATTGAGAATAGAAAACTTTTTCTTTATTTTTTTCCCCTCTTCTAGTGATTTTCTTCTCAATTCATCACCGGGTTCTTAATTTTCTTTTAATTTTAAGGTGTTGTACGTAAAGAACCACTTATACGATGAATTGATGATGATGATGATGATGATGATGATTTTTGTTGTTGCATTGCTTGTAATTGAGCAAAAGCAATTATATTTGATGACAAGGAACTATTCGATAATCCTTGACTTTGTTGTTGTCGTGACGACATTTGAAAGACATTTAATGTAGCATATTGAAAAGCAGCACGAGCTTGTTGAGTCATATTACTTAATTGTCGAATTGCATAGGATATATGATCAAACGCTAGGAATAAAAAAGAAAAGAAAAGAATATTAAATAAGTCTTTCATCTAAGTTAAAATAAAAGAAGTCTTATATAATTAAAAACAAAAAAAATTTTTTTCTCATTTAAAAATTCTTTTCTTTTTTTTTCTTCATTGTAGATTACTATTTAGTACATCTATTTAAATAAACTGACTTCATCAAAAGTAATATATCTTAAACAACACTTAAATTAATGAAATTCCTCCATACAAAAAAAAAGAGTATAATTACACGTTTTTTTTTTTTAATCCTACTACTCATTAAAGATATGGAATAAAAAAATGCCTACATGTCTATTTCATTCTCAATGTTTACTATAATCATATATATATATATAGTGAAAAAAAAAAAACTAAATATTTCTTATCTTTACATTATTAATAAATTGAAATTACTATTGACACTCATCCATGTAATTATCCATTATGATGAAAAAGATCAAAGAAATCTTTCAAGAGAACCTAACTTGACATGAACAAAAGCTCTATTCAACTTGAATATCATAGGCAATGTAGAACACATAATTAGTAGGCATCTACCCTATCCAGGATTCCCGATTGTTTTTAGAAATGGGAAGGGAGGGGAGGGGGGCTAAAAATTTGGCAGAAAGCATCTTCGGTTTAATTTAATTTCAGCAAATGCAGAAGCTTTCCGTTGAACTGAATTTTCGCAGAAAGTATTACCAAAAATTATGGTAGAAAGTCTAAAATTTTGGAGGGAGATCCCTCTCTGCCCTCCCAGCTAATCGGAAATCCTGATTCCATCTGCTTTTATTTCTATAGATTATTTTTAATGTTACTTATATATTTTATGAATGCATGAGAATTTATAAAATACAAAAGGTAATATGATATATATATATATATAGGGTAATTGATTACAATAAAAGAATATAAAATTTTTCTACATTAGAAAGAAGAATAGATTAAAAAAAAAATTCTAATATATTATATAACAATACCGAATATAATTAACAAATTTAATTATATAGTATCTTATAGAAAACGATATTTCATTTATTTTATTATTCATAAATTTAGAATGAATATAAAATATATATATTAAATACTCTCAAGCATATTTAACATTCTCAGAACAATTTCATATAAATCATTCTATAAATATTAAAACTTTTTTTTTAGCCACATCATATTGAATCTATCTAAAACAGCTAACGAACGAAGTCTCATAACTGACTAATTACTTTCTAATCGGAACGATGTGGATCATGCACAAACTAATGAATTGCGAATATTCTGAAAAACAACTCGAACTCTTTGCCTTTTTGTTCCACATTGTTTTATTTATATATCATTCCAATGCAGTCTAATGTACTGATTTCGAACATATTATTTTTGTTGATTAAATATTTTTTTCAAAACCTGAAATATTCTGGTAAAATTTGAAGGTTAGATTGTTCGTTTTACGAGACTAGTCGTTCGAACGATACTATAGAAGAAAAAAAAATTCTTTTTCTGAAATTAATTGTGTAAATGAAAAAATCTTTTTTTTAACCATTGTATAGATCTCGGCTTGAAGATTTAGAAAATATATTTGATTTATCTATTGAATAGTTTAATTTTGTCAGATATACATTCTCTTGGTGACATCACGATTTTCAGTTTCTTTGAGAATTATAACAAAGTTATTTATACAATTAAATAGACTATATTTCCATATATTTATATCTTGTAACAGCATGATTCTCAATTTTAGCCACACGTCCACCTAGATGCACATTGTGCTTCTCCTTCCTGGGGATGAAAATCGACATTTTTTTTTTTTCATTACTAATACGATCTCGAAGTGTTCTCTGTCAAATACCATAGAAATGAGCGTATCTTCTTTGTAATTTTGTTAAATCCAACTTTCTAGCAGAAAAATTCGTGCTACAATTGTTGTTCTTTTTTTCTATACAGAATTTCCATAATGATAATGATTATTTCTAATTCAAAAGGTGTTTAGCGTGTATGTCATGAATCCATAATACTGCTAGTTTTTGATTACTTTAGTTGGAGAAAAAAGTTCTGATAAATGCAGGAAAATTTGTTTTTCTCAAAATTATCCCCCGCTACTTCTTATCTTTCATACAATACGTCCAATCGGAATCAAATTGAGATGCATGTCTTTTTTTTCAAAATATTGTTCTTACAAAATTTGGTAGCCTTTAAAAAATTAGTACCATTGAAAAAAACACATTTTTTAGTAGGCAGCGCTTCTAGTATTTTGCTTCGCCTGAGCTGTAGGAACGATATTATTTTAAAAAAACACATACACATACCTCGATGTAATCCTGGCGGTCATAAATAAAATTGCAGCTTGAAAAAATGAAGTGTATAGTTTCGTGAGGGGAAAAGATCTTTCGTTGCTCCTAGCCTAAGATACAATTATGGTAAATGTGTATTTTTTATATCAATATTCTTATTTTAAATTAGGAGCAAATCAAAAGATCTGAAACTTTCACAATAGAAGCAATTCCTGTTGGAGCGCTCTATGTGCAAAATTTCAAGTCGAAATTCGAAAATCAATTTTTCTGGAAGCGAAACTCAGCATTAAGTTAAAGAATACCGTATTGCTGAGGGTGGAAGTGTTAGGCGATGTAGGTGTGAGAAGTTAATTATGCGAGCCAAACTTTTTTTTTTTAAATTCTTGAATAATTGAATTCAACTTTGATATGTGTGACAGATTCGGACGCATGGAAAAGAAAATGTTATAAGTACAATATGATTTTACATGAGATTTAACTGTATTTTGAATTTCTCTCTGTTTTCTTTTATCAACACTTCCTGAAAAAATCATAAAGCGAATTATATAGTATTACTGTAGTATCTTCGCAGCAATATACTAAGAGTCTGACTTTTGTTTAAGATCTATATGATATACAGAATCTTGATTAGAAAAACGATTAATCATTCATTCAAAATGCATTGATAATTTCTGACTCATTTTGCAATTTCACAATGAAATAACTTCGTCTAAATTTAATTATACCACTTTAATAATTTTGCGCCTGAATAAGTTATTCTCGTGATTGACTCTGCTGGATGAATGTCAGAGGATAAAGAATTAATAAAAAAAAAACCAGAATAGTAATTGTTAATGAATAAATAAAATATTTAACTGTTGTTTTTCTTTTCTTATCATCTACCTGCTTGTAAAACTGTTTCATTCATATAATATGTATGAGGATGTTCAGTATTCAGTCTTAATCTTGTTTCTTCTTCTTGATGAACAAGTTCAGCATTAGTTATTGATTCTTTCCATGATTTAAAAACAAACATTAAATCTCGTAAACGTAATTCAGGTCGTCCAATAGATAATAATTCATAAGTATCGCTTGCCTAAAAACAAAACAAAGAAAACAATGATAGATGAATTAATTTTAATAAGAATAAATAACTTACAGTAATTTCAATTTTTTTACATTTAAATATAAAATATTCAGGTACAACAAGTATTCGTGATGAACAACAATTTGTACCATTTATATTTACTAATGGTGAACTAGGTGATGGATGTGATGGTGAATTTACATTAAGATAATTTTCTACCTAAAGATAGAAATAATAATTCAAGGAATGAAATATAATTCGATAGAGTTAAATTAAACTACATTCTGATTACGGACACTTTTTTTTTTAGCCAATTAAGGAAAAATGTTCGCAAGGTGGAATCGCAGGAGACAGAGAGAAAGAGACAAAAATAGTCGCATTGTAGAAACAAGACGAGATTAATGAGGTGAAGAAAAAAAAATCATTAATAAACACAACTGAGTATCTAAAATTTCTTGAAATACATAACCAAGATTCTCTTTTTCAGTTGTATCAACTCCTTTAGTATATTGATAACAAAAACTATCCAAATTCTTTTAATACTTAGTAAGATTCAAAAAGACCATCTAAAAATTCTTCCTTTATTTGAATCAAAATATTTTCATTTGCCACTAATGTGTCTCTTCTAGGACGTATCAAACATTGTTGAAATTATTCTTGCTTAGTCCGAATGATTACTAATTCTTTTGACTGTTGGATTTATCTTATCCAGGGTAACCGGAGAATTCATCGTGAACTATTCGTCGTGAATACTTCATCGCGGGCTATCCGTACCGGACTATTCGTCGCGAACTGTCCATCATTGGCTATCCGTCGCGGGAGTGCGAGTGTGAATGAGGATCTTTTTGTGTATCCCTACCGACATTCACCCTCAATGCTCCTTTAAGGTATTTTAAGACGAATATATCATGTGATGAATTATCCTAGCACCCTTATTAAGGTCCAACGATTTAGATGTGTTTGACAATGAGAATTTAATTGATTAAGGTATTATTCTAGATAGTTGTTAGTTTTGAGTTGAATTCCAATGAGATCAAATAAATTCCAAAATGAAGGAGGAATGTATGAAGAATATAATTTATTAATTTAATATTAGAAAATGTTAGATTAATTTCTCTTAAATCGAGTTATACACATTTGATATATTCATCATCGAATGATTTAAATTTAGTTAATGAAATAAGAACTGAAATTTATATTTACATTGATAAAAAATAATAAATTCATCAAATTTTCTTTAACTATTCTCAAAACTGAAAAAAAAAATTCAATTTTACCCATCGTTGTTCTTGTATAAGTGCATTAAGTTCATCGAAACCTCGATAACAAAGTTCATTTAAATTTTCCATTAATTCATGCATATTAGTCGAAAGATTTCTTGATGGTGATTGTGATAACATAGTTTGTTGTTGTTGTTGTTGTTGTTCAATTAATAATGATTGCATTTTATGTTTTATATTTATATTTGATGGAACTGTTGTTTGTTGCCAAGATGGTTCTGGTGTTGATGCAACTGCCATTGATGCAAGAAAATTAATATTATCATGTACAATATTTTGTTGTTTATCAATATTTGTCATTGTTGTCTTTTGTGGTGATGAATAATTAAATATTGATAAAGATTCATCATAAAATAATTTATTAACTGTTGGTACATGTGATTGTTGTTGTTTTTGTTGTTGACTTAATTGAATAAGTGCTTCATCAATTGATGATGATGTTGATGATGAAGTTGATGATGATGATTGACGATTTGTTGATGATGTTTTACTTATTAATGGTTTTGTTGAAGCAAAATCTATGATATATAGAATTTGATAAAATATTAAAATTAAACTATGATAATTTATCTAACAAGATAATCTAACTAACTAATTCATAATTATAAATTTCAACTATATGCTATTTACATACTCACATTACATTCAAAATCAAACTTTGCATAATCGGCAGTTTTCAGCAATAGAAAGAGAAGAACTTCGAATGTCTTTTAGTTTGATATTATATAAGACAAAAATTATTAATTTAATTGAGCATATATGCAATTTTGTTTACTCTATATTAACATGCGAAAAGATAATAATCTAAATCATGTCTTGAACTATGGATCTGACATCTATATCACACCGTTTTTATATATTTTTATGAATGTTTTGCGGAAATAATTTTTGTTCTATATAATATCAAACTAAAAAAAACCGACGTCTGAAGTTGTCTTCTCTCACTTGCTGAAAATTACAGGTCGCTAGCTGTTGTTGAGTTACTGGGTACACACATTCATAACTCTTTAATTCTGATGCGGATATGAGTTTTACTGAAAATTTTATGTTTGAAGATAATGAAAGTATGTAATGATTACATGATTAAAAAAATATACTAAAACGACTATAATTGAAGAAAAAGAAAAGACTTATGAGCATGAGTTCATTTTTCTTTTTTTATTTATAGTCTCAATATAGCTTATTTAATGAACTGTAAGAATTATCCTCACAATGAATTTATTTTTAGATGAGATTTTCTTATAAGATATTTTGCTTGAAAATTTTGACCTTGATGACCTAGTTAAAATATTTATAAGAAATACTTTATGAATATGAGATTTTTTTTTTTGTTTTTAAAAATTTCTTAAATGTTTTGTTTTAAATTATATAGAAATATACACAATAACCTTTTTTTGTTTTTCTTTCTTATCCTTCATTCTTCTTATATTTTATTTTAATCTAAGCTGTAGGAGAGGATTTACATTGCACAGCACTTATTTATCATTTGTTGCAAAGCTCGACAGATTGATTTTTTTCACGTAAAATCATAGAAATGCTTAACTTATAAAAATAGTATCAAAATATAAAACAAGGACAAATCGCGGTTCTGCAGTACACAAGACATATATCAGCAAAATCAGGCAGAATAGGACATTTGCACCTTTCATTCGAGGTTGATTCTCTATAAGAGTGAATTTTTTGGATAAATTCTTTTGGCATGGGCTTATGTGGAAATGTTTGGTCTTTCATATGGTTATTAGTTTAAATTAATTAATTAATTAGCTAATTAATTAAAAAAATAATTAGCGAATATCTCGCTAGCCATATGAGAAAAAAATCTGAAAACTTCAGGATAGAGTCTAGGGCATAAGCTGCATCTATGGTAAAATTTTCAGCAAGATTGGACTCCAAAAAGTTTCTTCCGAAAAATCAGTTTTCTAGAGACCCTAAAAAGTGAAGAAGCGAAAACTTTTGTCCTATCATCATCTAGGGAGTCTAGGTAAGGATTTGTTACGTTTGAAGTCGATTTTGAACTTTTCAGTTGGTTACAAGAGCACCATCTCCATTGTGTAGTCGTACTGTGTCACGTCGCTAACGACAAATAAATCGGTTCTTTTGAAAAAGCTAGACATGCTCAGAAAAATTTTGCATATAGATTTTATAGCTTTAGGAGCCGTCTACAGAATACCCTATTTAGTTTTCTAAAATTGTGCATGAATTGGGAGTTTTTAAAAACTAAAATGCACAAAGTGGAAATCGATGTCCTTTTTTGTGTCACGTTGCTAACGGTAGTTTTTTATCAATAACTCCTCTGAACAAAGCTTCATAGCGCTGATTTTTTTAGGGTATCTAGAGTAACTTAATGTCCATGCAACATATAAAAATCAGATCTAACAGAGCTCATTATCTCGAGATACACATATTTTAATTTTCCGAAGTCACGTCGCTAACAAATGATTTTGTCCATATGTAAAAAGTTAGTTTTGCGGACAAATTTTTTTCTTATTCAAGTTTGATCGATTCGAACTCCATCGTAATATTTCATGTATTCACTATTAGTCTCTATACATATATATTTAAACCCGTACAAAAACCGATACATCCTGAATCTCAAGATTATTGTTGAGTAAACATTCAATATATGTTGTTTTATTCTGAAAAAAAAAACAAAACAATTTCATACCTCTATGACTATTACTAAAAAATGAGTTTGGTGATGAAAATATATGGCTTGATGTTGTATTCGTAGATTTTATTATTAAATCACCATCGATTGATTTTGTTGATATAGGACTTTTTATATTACTTGTATCAATTGATGAGAAATTTTTCGTTTTTAATGAAAGACTATTGGGTGTATATGGTTTAGTATTAGAATTAATTAAATTATTTGTTGTTGTTGTTGTTGTAGATGAAGAAGGTGTATTATTAGTGGAGAAAATCTGACTTGATAATGATGTTGATGAGTAATGATGATTAGTCATTGGAAAAAATATAGATTGTTCATCGGATGTAAATGATGAATGAGATGATGATGATGAATGAACATTACCACCAATTGGTTGTTGCTGTGGAGCATCTAAAAAAAAATGATTTTAAGATAATTGAAAAAATAAAATGACAAAATAATTTGTTTTTTTTTCTTCTTTACCGACTATTGTCGATTGTAATAACTGACTAAAATTGATTGTATCTGAAGAAGAGACTTGTGGTTGAATAGCAACATTACTAATTGATGATATTGTTTTTGAATTATCCGATGATAATGATCTATTAAAATGATAATTTTCAAAACCAGGTGGTGGTCCAATTGATTTTGGTTGTGATGAATCAACAAGTTCATTAACTTGTTGTAAAAAAACATCATCTAATGTATTGTTATTATTATTATTATTATTACTTGATAGTTCATTCTCATTATCAATAGTTGTTGTTGAAACAATAGATGATACAAATAGAGCGGCAAGATCAGCATCAGTTAAATTAAAATTATTATTAGTATTAGATTTATTCACTGTTGATAAATCTATTGTATTCATAGTTGGTGTTGATGATGAATAATCAAATAGATTTTGTGTGGACGGATTATTAAGATCAGTTAATAATATTGATGAACTATCAAGTACTAAAATTTCAAAAATAATAAAAAAAAAAAATTTATTAATTTTAATTAACAAGACGTACGAAACTCTTTCAAAAACCTAAAAACAAAGTCAGTTGAAATCGCGAACAAACAGATTCAATACAACAAATCTTTTTGTGGAAGATGCAAAAAAACTGTAACACTTACAAGAGAACTACCCCAAGTGACACTCACTATTTGAATTCATATTAGATCTACAGGCTGGTCTCAGTGAGACTAGCAAAATTTTAAAAGAGTTCGTTACCATAGGCCTTTGTCGCCGAGTTTATCGAATTTTTTTACTCATATCTAGGTATTTCTCGGAAGACCGAATAACGGAATTTGAGGCATAGAAACTTCGTTATTCAATCTTCCGAGTATCCAAAAACTGAGTCAAAAATTCAGTAAACCAACCATAACCCAATGATAAAGACCAATAGGAGCAAAACCATTCAGACTTTTGCTAATCTCACTGAGACCTACCTGTAGACTCGATATGAGCTCAAATGGCGAATACCACTTGGGGTAGTTTCCTTATATGTGCAATCGTTTTTTTCACACCTTTCCCAAAAGGATTTTCAGGGTTAAACCTGTTTGTTTGTGATCTCACCTAATTTTTCAAGTTTTTGAAAAATTCCGTCTCACTACTTTCGAACAAAAACAGACAGAAAATTTACGAGCACAAAATTCCGGCTGTTTTATCTATTTAGAAACTTTCGCATTACAAAAAAAAAATATTCAACAAATCGGCATGTTTAAATTTTATTACAAACTCTAGCTGAAAAAAAAACACTGATTTTTGAGATACTTTTGTTTTAATGGAAGAAGATTAAAAAAACCTACGCAATGCAAACAATATCTAATGTTTGTAAAAAATTTTTTTAGTCTTATCAAACTTGTGACTGAGAAATACGGCTGATAACGAGAGGACATTATTTTTTTTTAATCTATCGTAAGGCTTTTTAAATTTTCTTGTTAGTCATTCTCTACAAATGCTAGACAGGGTTTATAAAATAAATGATACATGATCAAAGCACAATGAAATATTTACTGATTACAAAGAAAAACAAATCCTCACATGACTGTAAAAAAAAAAAAAAAAGGAATTTGATCCTTTATATGTCTTCTTGAAAGTAATATTTGTCTGCATCAAAGAAGCATTTTTTTTTTTATTAATGTTTTACTTCAGGTTAAATTAAACAATGACAAATATTACTATATAAAATAATATATGTCAATGAAGATTAGAAATTTAGACTGAAATATAAGTTTGTACTCAATGCTCTCAAAATGAATTTATGATATTATTATAAAATAGAATATTTTCATTTTAATTCAATCACATAAATAAAAACATTCATATGATTAATATCCTTTAAAGTATCAATTAATAAAAACTTTTGTAAACTTTTTTCTATTGATTCTCTTTAAAGAAAAAATGAATTTTTGACTTTATGAATGTATTATTGGCAAAAGTGTAGCATCTGCCGTTAGAATGAAAAATTTTTCCTATCATTAAAATAAAATAAATCATTGTGTCTTTTTGAAAAACAAAACTACTATGCATTGAAAATATCACTATGTAAAAGAAAAATTAGTTTTATCAATTATCAAATAATACTCATAATCTTGATAGTTGGTCATTTCAAAAACGATTTATTATAATTAAATCAAAACATCAAAATTTTCATGTTAAATGCCTCAAATCATAGTAGAAACTACCGAGAATAAGAATGAGAAAAATAGACTAGTAGGATAACAAGATTGTTTAACTTGTTATGTGGCCTTTGGCAGTTTTGCGTCGGAAGTTGATAACCAACATTTTGTTATATGTATATTAGAAAAAAGCAAAACAAAGGTTAATCTAAACATTGACATAAACATAAGACATACACTCTAATATTGTCTACATTTGGAGAAAATAGCAATGTAACAACAAAATATAATATAGGACATATGCATATCAATGGGGAGAGCTTATTAAATTGAAGAGGATTAAACAAGGAATATTGTATCAATGACATAAAATACGATTATTCTATTTACCATTAGAATTATTATTATTATTAGTATTAGTATTATTTGATGAAGGTAAAGCCATTGTTGAATTTAACTCTCGAATTGGCATAAAATAGTATTGATCTGTTTGATTTACGACAACACTTAAAAAAAATAAAAATTTAATTAGTGTATAGATAATAAAAAATAAAAAAAAACCTTTGTTGTTGGTCTTTGGAGATTGATGATTGTTCAATAAAATGTTGAGTATTATTTTTTTCTAGGATCAAATTGACCTCGTTATCACAGCGTGCGTCTTCGTTGAAACTAACATATATATTAAGATAATGTTGTTTGTTTTTTTTTTTTGTTTTACTTTTGTCTTTTAATCTTATTTAGATGAATCAAATAGATTAAACTTACTGTGAAGATTTTGTTTGTGGACGGTGCGTCGTAGATGTTGTATAATGAAAGTTCATTGGAATCAGAAATACGATTTATTAACCGCTCGATTCATATATATGGCTATATAAATAACATTATTTTTCTAATAAATTTCAAGTTCTATAAATTTAAAAAAAAAAAATATTATAAATTAAAATCCTAAATAAAATCATTAACCTTGAAGAGAAAATTTCCTTTATTTTTTTCTCTTGTTTTTTTGTTGTTATTAATATTACTGCTGCTGCTCCCTACACACTAGTTTGAATAAATCAGAAAAACATCATTCGTTTTATGACGACAATTTTATGCAAACATCGATAGTAGCGACAATCATGGAGGATAAATAGATAAAAATCAATTGGTTTAATTCAATATATGGATTCACTAGTGAATTTTCGATAGATGACATTAGAAAACAGAAAGATTTTTGTTTTTTGAGATCTTTTTAAAGTTCCGAAATACTTTTTTTTTGTTTATCTATATCGTATATTATAGAAGTACTTAAGTTTAATCAAAAGTTCTGATAACGTTGCTGGCAATTTTATAAAGTAGTTGACATTAATGAGTTTATTTCATGAATACATTGTAGAATGTCTTGTCCATAATAATATATATATAATAAATCTAATTTAGATTCAGTTCGAACAGAAAAGCAAAACTCGATAAATAGATAATAGATTCAATCGATACTATATTAAAATCCGAATTAATTTGGGAATAGATGCAAAGACAGTCTCGCGCACTACGCCATTGCATGGTTTGAGACGTTCCGAAAGAACACAGAAGAAACGGATTTGCTATTGTGCAACACGTTCACAGAGTAAAAACATAAAAGAGGTGCGGGTTTGTCTCACGGATAGAGCCTATCGGATCCAAGAATTTTCGGATCAGGAACCGGACTCGGACCCGGTCGACCCAGATTTTGGATTCGAATCTGATTGATTAATCTTTTGTGGGAAGAATCCATTGAGTTCAAAAAAATTCTGGACTCGGACCTGGTTGACTCAAAATTTTTAGACCTGGATCTAGTCAGATCCGATGGGCTCTACTCACGGATCTCTGATTGAGACCTCACACTCCATCATATCGAACAGTTGCAAGATGGACAACGCGTTTTCATCAAGGAAGAGAAGATGTCAATGATGACCTTGGATCTCATTGTCAGGTTTCCGAGTTGACAGATGTAAATATTGATCTAGTACGCCAGGCTATCAACAGTGATTCATATTCAAACTTATGATGGTATTATACCTGGAACTTCTCATCTTTCATGATGAAATAGAACGAATTATCTGCGATTGTCTAAACATGTGAAAAGTTACATCATGTTGGATGCCTGGTCAAGTCAATGTTGGACAAAAGCAAGAATATGTTAGAATTTATCGTGAAAATTTCGTGATGGATCTATCAGAGATAGGTAAGACGCTAGTCAATTAACGCAAGCTGGATTAATGAAGATAAATCACCAACGATTATTGTTCATCGAAGTCGATTTGAATCAAAAACTTTGTTATGTATATTCTTTAAATAAAAAGATTCTGTCCTTATACATAGTGTAGATAAAGACAAGACTATTATATTGAAAATTACTTTAAGTCTATTCTCAATAAAATATAGAGAAAAAAAAAAGAAGGTCATCAGGTGCAAAAAGTATGAAATTACCTTATGACAAAACTCGATCTCAACTTTAACCAAATTTTATTAATTATTTAACACAAAAAGATATTAATATAATGTCGCATCTGTCGTTTTCATCAGATCTTAAAGTATGTGATTTTTGGCTAAATGATGATATCAAACGTAATTTAACCGACCAAACAAATAGAAAATTATTGACTCATACGATTTACAAAAGAGTTAAAAAAAAAACATTTGACAAATTTCTAGAAGAATAAATTTTATTTTTAGTAAACATTGTTAGAACCTTTGATCAACTTTAAGTATGATATCTTTTATAGGATTTATTCTCAAAACATTCTTGTATCACAGGAGTTGTCATACAAAACTTTTTAACATAAAATAATTCTTCAGCGGATCATTTTTCTACCAGCAAGATATATAGCATATAAATACTTTTGTAAATCTATCTCATTCTTTGTGATAGAATATAAGATTAAATGTCTAATCTCGTTTTTGAGTTACAAAAGTATCCATTTTATTCTTTGTAGAGCTTTTATTATTAAAAAAAAATTTTTATTTTAGTAGGAAAACAGTCTTGTCTATACCAATTTTCATTATTAGAACTCAATTAGAAATCAAAATAAATAGTATGTATATTTGGAATCAGCATGGAAAATTACACGGGATCATTTTTCCATGGAAAATATGCTTTTTTCTTTTTCACTCGGATTTTTTTTTCTGAAATTATTACCTGTTATCATCTTAGAATGTACACAGCTAGATATAGTTCTTCATATTGCTTTCAAATATGCTATTTACTTTGGTTTCCAACTGAATTCTGATAATGAAAACTGCTATAGGCTAAGCCGTTTTGCTACCAAAATAACACACAAATATTAAATTTGTTCAGCAATAAAAAATTCTACAGAAACTAAATGTACACTTTTAGTACTCGAAATCCAAAAGATAGAACATTGTGTTTTATATTCTATCACAAAAAAAAACAAGATAGATTTACAAACATATTTATAAACGCAAGTAATAAGTCTAAATATAGAAGTAATGATATTTATGTTATTAATTTTAAATATTTTATATTGTTCTATTCAATAAGCTTTCGAAGTAACAACATACTTGATTAAGTTGGAGTTTTATATCGAAATTTTTAATTTAGAATTATTATCTACATAAAAAGAACAATAATAAATCTAGAAACATCTTAATCAGATATTTCTTTTTTGACAGTCAAAAATTTTTCTATGAAAGTAATTAAAATAAATATTTAATCTCTCGAGGAAAGTCTTCCTTATCGTTCTTTTTTTTGTCTCTAGGTCATCGATTTGATCTCAAATAAATGTCTAATTACATGAGTAAATTAAACACTTTATTTTCATTATTCTCTATATTATTTTTGCGAAACTCGAAAGACACTTTTTTTTTGTTGCGTATTGAATCTGAGTTGGAAAAATAAATTCAAATAGGTACTAGAATATTAGAGAATAAATATTAAAGAGTAAACTTTATATAAAAATAACCTAAATTTTAAATATTTATTCAAGATTAATAAAACGACCATAATATTGAACTACATTTATATATTTAGAAGAATCTTTTTTTTTTGTTTTATTTTAGGTAATAACTCTAATCTTTCTCTACAAAACTATATCTATATTATAAGTTTGTTAATCTACTGAGGAGTGTTGTTAATAATCCAATATAATATTACAAAGAAAAAAAACAATCATAGCGTTTAATTCTTTGATTCTTATCAAACTTGTATATTAACTGTAAAGAGTTAAACATTGATTTGTTTCTTATTGCTTTATAATAGACAATGCTTTCTCTATACACTCATTGATCAAAGTAATACCGCTCCTATTGTTAACATGAGCACATTCCTTCATGTTTCATCGACCAGACTATTACTAAGTCTTCTTTTTCTTTTTCTTCTTCTTTTTTTTCTTATCTTGTCTTACACTCGACTTGTCTCATCACTAATTACTTAGTTTATTGTTCAAATTAGAATATGATAAACCACCAAAAAACGAAAAAAAATAAGAATCCGAAGAACAATCAATAATACGTTAGGGATCAATCTGTTCATCATGTGATGTATTTACTTGTCTATCTGCGTGATGTTTTTATTCGAGTCGATTTCTTTTACACATTCAATCTCAATGGAATTACATGACTATTATCTACTAGTTGAATATAGATCAACGATAAATATATTTCGCCGTTGGATACTAATGAATTGAACATAATGGCAATGTTTATATTAGAAAAAAGAGTCTTGCTAATTGCTCAGCATGTGAGTTTTTTTGAATCTCTCTCTCTCTTTCTCGTTTTATATATACATATATATATAAAATAAAAACCAAATTGTTAAATATGTACTTTATTTTGACACATTTTGTTAAGAAGCATTCATTCTTTATCTCTTTCCCATCCAAATATAGACAATAGATGTGTCAACTCTAATGAACTATTGGTTTGTCTTTCAATAGTTTATATTCATTGAAGCACATCAATTCTGTTGTATTTATAAGTGTCAAAAAAAAAGAAGATCAAACAAGTAGAAAAAGAAGAAAAACAAAACAAAAAAAAAAGAGATAAATACGATTTTGTCACTTCATAGTTCGTGTTTGTACATTATTGTGAATATAATACCTTGCTCTTAATAGTGTCATGTTCAATTGCCTTCCGGTCAAAGTCAAGTCTACTGATGGTGTCGTGTTGTGTATTATTTTTCTTCTATAAAAGACACAATCGATTGTGATAACCGCGCACACCCTGCCGACATGGAAAGAAGAACTTGTAGATTCAATAGCGATTGATGCATAACTGACACGAACATGCCAACATAGTCGATAATGATAGCAGAAGAAGAAAAAAAAACAGCGAGTAGTACGTCATCAAACAATACTATTGATTATCGGTTCCAAAATTTTTTTCTATCGTTAGCACATTTGTGTCGAGAACACAGCAAGTAATAAATGATGATGGGTTAAAGCAATAAAAATCAAAATTACTAGAAATGATGCCGATAACACTTTTATATATAAAAGAAGAAAGAGATTGATTATTCGATATTAAGTTAACACTTATCTGTAATCATGAGTTAATCATTAAAAGATAAAATTCAAAAAATTTAGTTAGAATTCTATCTAAGAAGAACGCAGTACATCGTTTGTCTAGAACAACTCAAACATTACGCATTCCGGAGAGCAGCCTATTAAGTTCAAAATTTACAGATCCGGATTCGGTCGGAATAGTACTTTGATACTCTCAATTAAAACTTCCTAATCGAAATTGGATAATCGCCGCCCCGAAGAAATGAAATATTTTATTTTGTATTCGATAACTAGTGCATCTTGTGGATTTCTTAGACAATGAGAGCCTTTTGAGTCCAAAA